GGATAAATGCAGAGCACTAATTCCTAGTATGTGTCACCATACTTGGCCACATGTCACTTCACTTTCACTTTCACTTTCATATGTATAATTAGCCAGCAATAATTAGCCTGTATTGTATCAAAGTATAGTAAAGACAACAAATATAAAATTGGTCCCAAAATTCTGTATTTTACAGGAAAACCCATGAATGTGTAATTTCTTTCATGTAACAGAATAGCCTACTTTAAAAAACAAAGAAAAAAATCCCTTACTCTTAAACATTTTTCTGGTATATATATTTTATATATATTCTCCACATACTCCTTTGGAATTGTCACAGATACACTAGAATCCCTCTCTCTAATTATGTCACTGCCCATGATTCACTCGGATTCAACTAAATACTGATCAAACCTGTTCCTCATTTATGGTCATTTAGGATTCCTAATATACTTTGCACTCTCATTCACTCATTGTCTGGACACTCATTGTTGCTGGTACCGCTATTAACTACAGGCTTATCATTACTTCCATACAGACTTCCCAACATTCTGGTGTTCTCAGCAAGTGTGTGCTCATGGTGTGTGTGCATTTTAATAAGAGAGACATTTATGGACACTAAAACAATTTGACTGGAGTTCCCTTTTCATGTCCTTACTGACACTTCATGGCTATGGATATTCAGTTGAATCAACAAACTGATTTTAACTGAATAATGACTTCACTGTTGTCTTTTTAGAGCTGATCTAAAGCAGAACTGAATTATTTTTGCATCATAGAATCATTACTTTCTTGTTTATCAATTTAAATCGATCGAAATTTGACAATCTATACTGTATAAAGCACTATAGAAATAAAGGTGACTTGGCTTGACTTGACCTGAAGTGTTAGTAAGATACCTTGGTTGTCTATGTCTTATCCAGGACTTTTATGCCTAAAATGGCTGAATTTATGGCTGCTTTTCTCAACAATTATGCCAATATTTTCACATTGTTTGAGCTATTTTTATGTGAAAATCATGATTTTATTTGTCTCAGTGACAGTAATAGAAAAATTACCTATAAATACATTTGAACATAATTACTGAAACTGGGTGTCTGTCAATGGTCACACCAGTATAGAAATCCTCACAGGTGTGCTTTGCTGAAAATATAGAATTGTAATAAACACAATAGCTTGCACACTAACACTGAATCAGTATGCAATCAGTGAAATTATTTAATGTTTTTCGTCCAAGGCTAAGCTGTCCAGAGAAGGCCCTCAAGGGGGCTTTGCCGCATTTGTGGAGATGGTGCTGGTGAGTTGTGGATCAGCATTCACAATCTGCCTAGCAGAGGACATCAACAGCTTCACTCCAGATCCAGAGTCCAGCCAGCCATCACCCCACTGCACAGAGCATTTGCCTGAGTTGCCCACAGGCGGAGAGCCCGAGCCCACTGTAACAAAAGAGGCAGTGCAAGAGGAAGCAACTGAATCCATTATCACCCCAGAGCCAGAGTCTCACAAAAATATCCGACCAGGTGTGCGAGCCAGCAACATCAGCAGTCGCATTTGGAACACTATTGGAGTATGAGGGCATGAAGAAAAAGCCTCGGCCACATTCACATCAGGGTGAGCTACTGCTGGCCTCTGAATTCATATTTAAATATTTGGAAGAGGAAAATTTCTCCAGTCCTGCTGGTTCCGCCCAGCTCAGCATCTCCTGTGTCACCTGAGTTCTCACCCAGCCTCCTTCTCCCACCTCCTCTTCCAGAATCCATCCGTTCCTCAGCCTCGCCTCCGCTGGCTCCTGTCAGTCCCTCGGCTCATCCTCAGTCTGCTCCACCCTACTGTGTGGATCCACTTCTGGCTATCCAGTCACCAGCTTTGTCTAGGCATGAGGATCCCCTGTCTCCATCTCCAGTCTCTCAGTCCCGGACTCCACCTCGGCCCTCCGACTCATCGGCTCCATCTTGGCTCCTTGCTCTTTCATCTCCACTGTGGCCTATCATCCCACTGACTCCACTGGGCTCCCTCATCTCTCCGGCTCCACCTTGGTCAGTCGTCGACCTGCCTCCGCCACGAGATTCCACTCCCCTGGCTTTGCCTTGTCCCTCCATCCCTCAGGCTTCATTTGGCTCCTCCTTCCCTCCAGCTCTGCTCCTGGCTCCTTCCTGGCTCTTCCCTCCAT